AAATTCTGTACATATTTGGAGAAGGGGAGAATGTTCCCTAAATCAACCCCATTTACCATTCGAAACTGCGTAATACAAGAAAGGTTGGGAGTAGGAAAGTTTGTCATCCTTACTTCCATCCAATATTCTATACCAAGCATGTGTTACGTTGCTTGAAAAAATCAACGAATAGAAACGAAAATTCTCATAAAATTCAAAAATCTACCTTGTGTATATCTATGTGGTCGTTAATGCTATTTTTGTCAATATTCCTAACCATCTTCAGTAGCAGTTAATCTTAGTTTTGAGTTCAAATTCCAGCCCATTTCATAGGTCCAACCCATTGATTAGAGGTTGCTCAGGATGTTGGGAGTTAGAAGCCATCAACGGGACACTGTGTATTGATTTCTACGACCATCTGGCAAACCCAACAACAAAATCGAAGTCTTATTTTGAGTCGACTATATAAATTTTCTTATTAACTGAATAATTTGCAATCACGCCATGTTAATATCTCTACCTCGAAAGGTTCTTTAGGCACGTCCAACCATCGAGTTATAATTCTCTAAATTTAACCTTAATGGATCTACATTTTAGTCCATTATTTCGTTTATAATTTTAGTATGATCACACATCCATCTCAATGTTTCATTTATGCTTTATGTAATAGGAAATTTGTTCTTTTAATGGTCAGGCTAAATTATTAATTACAATGTATAATGTAACTCTTCTCCATCCTTTTTTATTTTTCATTTTTCCTCATACACAACCAAATTAAAGATAAGCACTTGTGATAGAATAAAGATGCAGTACAGGTCTATAGAAACAAGAAATTCTTTATTGTTACTATTTCTAAATCTGACTTGTGACTGTTCTACACCATACATATTCTACATGATAATGTTAAATCCAATATAATTTAAAAACTATGGAGTAACTGAAAACCAAAGAGATGTTATTATCAAGAACTTCAACACATAATTATATAACTATCTATACTCCTTATCTCAAAGAATACCTATAAACAAGCTTACCAGATAACCAGTTCAAAATTGTGAAAGGATGTCATTTTTCCATTAATCTCAATGGAAGACTTATAAGCTTTGACAGCGATAGGTAACATCTGCTACACGATATCCTCATTATCTCAGGCTAAAAATTTCCCCCATCATGGGAATCCATTAATCGAGGAACTTGCAATTCCAGCATTAGTTGGCCGGTTGATCAAGATGTTAATAGTTTACAGGTCAGCATCTTCATCTTTGTCTAGAGAGGCAGACAAGAAGCTTAAGATGAAGCCATCTAGATCACCTTCCAGAACAGAATCGGGATGGGAAACCTCAAAATCAGTCCGATGATCCTTCACCATTCGGTATGGCTGCAAACAGAATCGTTAAAAATGCAGTTAAGGTATCTGTGCAATCCGGGATAACTCCCAAAGCTTATGAAAAATGAACAAATGCATACGTGAAGCACATAAGACCGTATTTGGCTGCCAAAATTTATGTCAGTAAGGGATTGTGTGTGCTCTGCATTCATCTCAGCCTGACGCCGCATCTCAAGCTGGTCCAAACGAGACTGAAGTACAGCCATGGCAGAAGCCTTGTTTTGATGCTGTGACCTGCTTCCGGAACAAGTACATAACTTCCAATAAAAAAGCAATCCACAGCTTCATTTCTTGCATTATAAAAGATTTGCGATAAAAACAGTTCATAGCCCAACTATAGTGTTGTATCACTTGGGTCAATCAAACTTTTTCAAGCTCCAAATTTTTCGCTGAACTACTTTTGTTTCAATTTAGGGATTCCATTTGCTTCGGTTTGCCAAATTAATGAAAATGCTGAAACGGTGGTAAAGGAAGGGGAGACTCCAGGTATATGGAAAGTAGATCAATTTATCTTATATATATATATATATA